CTTTGACAAAATACAGTAACAAGGGACGTTACACAAAGTATTCACTGTTATTAGTCTCTCTAGTTAGTTGGTCTTGTAAAAGAAGTCAAACCAACATAACAGTACCTATTTTATTAGTAATGCAAACTGCTAAAAAGGAAATTAGTTATAAGATATTATTTCTCTAGACATATTGAATGTGATATAATGGAGTTAAATGGTTAACTCTGCTTCTGTCTATTAATAAAAACTTTCAGAATATATCAAATGTAGTATTATTATTTTAATTTCTCTGTAGCATCCTCTGTCTATTTAAAAACTCAAGAATTAAATATATAAAGTATAATAAAATTTTAAACATATAAAATTTTTTCACGCATATCAAATATGAAATCATAATAATTCTATTTATTAAATTATTAAAAATTAGATTAGAACAAAGGTATACTTAGATAATATTTCTTATAAATACATAAAACTAGCAGTTGAATATAAAATTAGCTATATAACTAAGTTATTTAATATAAACTTTCTTCTGCTATATCAAATATAAGTCAGTAGCATCTTTTATTCATTAATCTATTAAATAAAAATGTATATATTATTTTTTTAGATATGTAGAAGTAAAATTTGCAGTACTTCTGTCTGTTAAACTATTATAATAAAATATTCTCCAGATGCATTGTGTAGTATCCTTCATCTGTAGCTGTAAAAAAATATTAAGAATTGAATCTTATTAAAAAATGATAAAATATATTTGTATAATAAATGCAAGATCTACAGACAAGAGCCTGATATTGTTATAATGATCTTTTGAATAATTAAATCACTTATATTTATAAAGCTATTTGAATTTGAAACTTCATTTAATGTTATTTCTTTATATTTGTCTAAGAAGATATAGAAAAAAATTAAACAAACATTAAAATTAAACAAATATTAAAATTAAACAAACATTAAAATTAAATAAATATTAAAATTAAACAAATTTTAAAATTAAATGAGATTTAGTAAATTAAGTAAACCTATACTTATTTTCAATATTAATTGTTTGTATAGATTTATTAATCTGCTTTAAACTTTTTTGTAATATTCTAATTGTTTAATTTTTGAGAGAAAAATCTTGATAGTGCAGAAGGAGCGAAACAAAGTTTTAAATTCAAATAGTCTAATTGGCAAAGATACATAGCCAATTGTTAGTATAATGCTTTATTTACTATAAATATAGCCAAATTCTACTATAACAAACTATAGTACTAAATACTCTACTAATTTTATTCAAAATACTTATTTAATACTTTTTTTTCTTACTTGATCTGTTATTTAATAATTAATAGTAACCTTTTTTCTTCTCTCTCTCTATTTTTTTTTTCTTTTTTAATCTTCTTTATTTGATACTTTATTTTGTTTTCTTTTCTCATTTTATTTCTTCTTTTTTTTTCTTTCATTTGCTTTCTTTTTCTTCTATTTACAAATTTATTTCTATTAAAATACAAGTCTCAAATATATTAGAATACAACAAGTTATATATATACAAATCTCTAAAAACTTAATACCAAAATTTCTGCAATACCTTTATATATAACAATATGATTAGTGCTGAAGATTTTAAATATTCAAAAGATTTAGTATGCAAAGAAGCCTATAATGCATAGAATGAAATTAAAAGAAAGCCTAAACATGAAATTGAAAATACTATAGAATATCTTATTACAAATGCTATATCTACTACTCAATATTTAAATCCTGTTTAATATTTTACTACTGCTAATTCAATCCAAAATAGAATTATTGAGAAAATTATTGTTTCTAGTATACTACTACCAAATGCCATAGCACAAAAGAAAGCAAATGAAATTATGAATAAAACAAATAAAGAAATTTCAAAATATCAAGAAGATTATAATTCAACAACTAATCCTGAAGCCAAATATGAGCTAATAGATTATATACAAGATCTTAAACAAGTCCTCTATACCCAAAAAATAAAATTTCAAAGTCTGAAAAAAAATGCTAATTACTAACACAAATATAGAGAAAGAAAAGACTAGGATTTAAAGGAGTATTAGCAAGTTGTAAAGTATAACTCATCTAGGCATCTCTTTTTCTTATACAAATTCTCAAATTTACTAGAGTATCTTTACAAGAGCATAGAGTTCGAGGCTACTAATAGCTAAAAAAGAAAAGAAGTTATTAATGTTTGAACAATAAATTACTTAAAAGAAGAACTAAAGTTAAAATACAATAAACATCTTTCCTGAAATGCTATTAATAATCACCTACTATTACATTATTCAAACTTAATAGAAGCAAAAAATTACTATTAGCTAACTAATATTAAAGTCAGTAATGTATATTTTTAATATTCATTATTCTTTTCTAGATTGTATGCTCATATCAGAGATGATGATTTTCTTCAGTAATAACTTTTATAGTAATTCTATATTCAAAAAATCTTTGCACATACTAAATTCTGTATTATTTATATTGATTCTTTTATCAAGAGGATTAGTATACATAACATAGAATTTAGTATATACAAAGATTTTCCAAATATAGAATTACTATAGAAGTTATTACTGAAGAAAATTATTGTTTCTGACCCATGCCAATACATATAGTTTAACAATTATATAAATTAAATGATTATAAAATTTAAAATTATAACTTTTTAATAACATATTCATACTTTGTTTATTTCTATTTGTTAAAAATGCTAGTTCAGATTGCAACTATCATAAAGAATAAAAGAGCAGATCATCAGAATATTTATTATTGTTTTGTCTTTGTAAAGATAGAAAGAAAATTTGTAGCCCTATTTTTGATCTTTTCAGTAATTATGTTACAAGATAATAAAGCCAAAGTTCCTCTTAGCATTTCTGTAGTTGAAAAAAGTTTTAAAGCTATACAAAGTTACAATAAGCTAGTTACTATTCTAAACTATGACTTTTCTGTTAGTTTACAACAGAAACTTACTTCATCTGTTTATTTAATCATCAATTTAAGTGATACAAATGACATACTTTGTAAAGGTCAATTGTCAATATACATCTGCTCACAATACAAGATAGGAACAAGCTCAGTGATCTATATGAATGATCTATATTCTTTAATGAATAATAGCAGTTTTGATGATATGTTAAAGGTTGATAATAAAATCAGACCAATCTGAGTTCTCCTTATAGATAGAGGCTCTGATGAAAATTCTTATTATCTGAAAAATATTACTCAATATTATGATATCTTTTGCTCTTTCAACCTCAATTATTTGACTATTAGAACTTATGCTCTAGGTTAGTGATCTAGTATCAACTAAAATTATTTAATTAACTAATCAAATTTGTCAAAATCATAATTCTTAATCAATTAAAAAATTTACAATAAATAGCCAACTAAATATTAGTTTATTCTACTAATTACTCTAAGTCATTCAGCATACAATCATGTTGAAAGGAGTATAGCATTTCTTTTAACAATACTAGTAACTATAGTTTTGCCTATTAACAAATATGATACTCACCTTGACTTATAGGTAAAGTCATTAACTCAGAGTTAGCAGAAAAAAATTATAAATATATGAGCAACCTTCTCTATAACCTGTGGAATAAGGACAATATATTCAGAAAGCTAGTTATGACTGAATACATTGATATAATAAGTATCTTGGCTTTAGATATATCTTAAAAATGAATAGAGATCTATACAGGGATCTGCAAATACTCTTTAGATATAAAGAAATGTAATAATATCAAATATTGCTTCTCTAAAAGGTTTGAGAAGGCTGCTATCTTTCTTGCTTCAAATAATAGTTTTATTCTCCTTTAGTAATGTGAAAAGATAGCTACTATATTAATTTGATACATCTATTAGAGTATCTTGACAAGTAAATATATTAAAATATAACTAATATTGCTCCTTTATAGCTGATAATTATATAAAACACATCTGTTTTATTTGTGTAAAGTATTTTCTGACAATTATAATAGTTCTTGATCATGAAAAAAATTAATATTTGAAAGAAGCCTGTGAACTTGGATAGCCAAAAAATGATGAGACAATAGCAAAAGAAGTCTGTCATACTAAACATGAATCTGGAAGGCTAAAAAAAACTAAAATAGCAAAAAACCAAAAAACCAAATAAAATTTTTCATTTATTATTTAAAGAGAAAACTTATAATTCTAATTAAATAAAGAATTCCAGATTTTCTCTTTGCAGTACTTATTTATTTAATAAATTTCTGATATAAATAAAGATTAATTTTAGTAAAGAATTATAGCAAAACTTTAAAAAAGCTTTTATTATCTTATCATTATATCCTGTTTATGATCTCTTATCAAATTTTAACTATATAGTATATATCTATTAAAGAAGCCTTATTTTAATTTAGTTTTGTAGTTCAGTAATAAGTTAATTTTCCTATTGCTATTGATAATAAAATACATATAATTCAAAGACTTCAAGATCTATATATATGTTATAATTTAAAAATGATTAACAGTTAAATTTTGATATTTTTAATAGTGACTTTCATTAATCTTATATTTGCTAGCCTATTATCAACTGCTATCTATTATATCAATAAATCTAAAATTCATTACTTTTAAATCCAGTTTTAGTAGAAGTGTAAACATTACAGTATCTGAAGACTAAGAAACTCTATTAAATATAATTTAGTAATGTAATTAGTAATGTTTATAGTATTGATTTGCTATAAAGCTAGCTTATAACCCTACTAATTAAATTCATACTTATACTTAAGAATCTGCTTAAGCTTCTACCAAAAGAAAAAACCTACAAATAAATAGCTTTAGACTCTAGTCAGAAATTAATATCAAAATGACTACAATTTGAGAAAAAAACGAAATTAACAATTTATAAAAAAATTTTTATTTCATAATTTAATTAAAAATAATTTTAGAAACATTTATTATATAAGATAAAAAAGCTATTAAATTAATAAAATTTTACAGAATAGCTTTTTAAAAATTGATTTTTGTTTTTTTTTTACTATAGTTTATTTTTGTCTCTTTCATAGCACTTGATCTTGGCCTAGTTTATTTCTATTCTGATTGGCTTGAATCAATAATATCTATAGTAACAGGTAACTAGGCTTTAGGCTTAGTTTATATTGCATTTCTAGAGCTACTATAATATAAACTTAGAAGGAAATTAACTATTAATTGTGATAGATTAGAATAAAATTCGTATTGTAAAAAAATAAAGCTACTAAAAAAATAAAAATATCTTGTGCACCAATTATAGCATATCTTAGTGACTGGATTTGTGCTAACTTGTAACTTGTAAATTAAGAGTTACTCAAATTATTTGAATTGAATATTTTTTATTAGAGTTATTTGAGTAACTCATGACTCACAAGTTAAATTCTGAAGTATTTCAAATTATATTTGAATCATATGTTTGAATTATTTTTTAAATTGAAATTCAAATAATCTGAGTCAAGTAAATTAAAAATTCTTTGTAAAGCTGATAAAGTATATTTTAATTTACAATATGAAAAAACAACAGTAAATATTTTCAAAATTAAAAACAGATACTTATTTTAAAAGAAATAGGAGATTATTTGTTTTAAAATAAGTGATCTATTTATATTTACATGTAAGCTATATTTATCAACAGTGCTTTGATAATTATTAAACTACATAACAATAAACAAAAAAGTTTAATTAAACTATTTTCATTTTCTTATTTCAAAATTTTAATTTAACGTGCTAGTTAGTTAGTATTTAATATAATTATTTCTTTAAGATAATTTAATCTAAAGATTACCTATTATTTTTCACTATTCTAAAATATTTTTAATATTCTAAAATATTTGATATCTAAAATATATAAATAATTTTTGCAACTTGAATTATTTTAGCTATTATAAATTATTTACAGTTTAGACTATTTAAAATAATTTTCACTATTTTAATTTTTGCTATAAGTAAAATAATTTTAACTCTATCTATAATTACTATACATAGTTGTTATATTAGTAATTTAACTCACAAGTAACTCATGAGTTTCAAATTTATAATTTAAATTATGATAAACTTGTATTATATCATGATTTGACGAGTCTAGTAATAGCATATCTTGTAACTATTGAAAACTATTAAAAGCTATTAATTACTATATTACATGGAGTTATTAAGATATTTTAATCTTGCAGGAAAAAAAACTATTGACCATAGGTTACTGCACTATATGGGGCTATTATAATATCATCTGTAAGGAAAAAACAGTTAACTTAAATTTTTTTTTAGGTTTTAAGGAGTTTCAAGAAGGTTTCAAATACTTGGGTCTAAGGAAAAAGCTATAATTATATAATAAGTAATAGTTCTCTAGTTATTTTCTAACTTTATCTTTTATACTAACAGATCTGTATTTAATATTAATACTAATTACTACTCTATAAGTATTAGTTAGGTACAAATTTCAAATAACTCTATAGTCTATACCTATTTAGCTCTTATAAAAAACTAGTCTTCCTCTTACAAAGCTAAACTTATTGCAATTCTATCAGTTATTAGTACTTGTCTATAAAATAGCAATATCTATATCTACACTGACTCTCAATCTATTATAGCCAAATACTCTAAAATTACTACATATCTCTCTATACTTAACAAGACATACTCTTATAACTATTGGCCTATTTGACATATTTTACTAAATCTAATCAAATTCTTTTCTTTAAACATCATATTCTACAAAGTTCCTACACACCAAAATAGTATACTTAATAACCTCACTGACTCTCTTGCCAAACACAATATATTTTTTGATTATTTAAACTTCAAACAAGACAACTTTTATAATCTATCATACTTCTTTCAATATAACAAGCTCAATATTGAACAACTAACTCACTGCTCTATTAAAAACATCTGCAATACTCATATTATTGCTATGTGGTCATCTCTAAACTGAATAGACTATATCATACTAATCTTTTATCAAATGACTAGAATACTATATAGCTCTTTCTTAACAATAACTACAAATATACTCACAACTATACAGACTTTTAAACCTGCTAAGTAAAATTATTTGTATAAAAGACCTTCTAAACTCTCTCCTCTTTATTTTTAATCTTTATAACCTATATCTTATTTATATCTTACTAACAACTACATCTTATATAACTCTTATGAATATAGCTTTCACTAGATTACTTGTTTCAAAGCTATATCTACTTTCATATTCTACTACAAACTATTGAACAGGTCATTACTTTCTCTCTATTAGATTTATAATTCTATAAAACAACTCAACTTCAACAACAACTCTTTCAATATACCTGCTGATTATTTTCATCTAATACTCTCTCTAATCAAGCTAATATCTTTATTATACTACAAGGCTTTGTCTCTAAAGCTATAATTAATACCATAAATTCATATATCAATTCTTACAAAATAGCATCAGATATAACTATCAAACTACTCCTCAAGCTATCTCACAATCTATATGAGCAAGCCTAGAAGCTATATTGCCTAAACCTATCTAATTGGAAAAATATATACTATATTCCTTGACATCTAACTTCTCAAACTTTTTTTTTCACTTCTCAAAATCTACTACTACATTCTTAAATACAACTCATATTTAACTGCATCTGTAGCCTTCCTAACTAACAATATACAAATCTTAACTTCTGTTCTCCAAAAAGACTTGCTCTCTGCAAAATTTATATTTGATTCTCTATATAGATTAAATATAGCCTCCTACTAATTATATTCTAAACATTCAAATTTTGATAAGTTTTAACTATTCTAGTAGGTTTAGATTACAAATAAATTAGTTAGTTCTCTTTTCTATAGTCTGAGCTTTATTCTTGTATCTAAATTTGTAACTCTAAGAAACACTATGTAGTTGCTCTAACAAGTTTATTAATAAAGATAAGAGCAAAACTTTACTTTAAAAAAAAAATAAAATAAAATAAATAAATATTTTGGTATTTTTAGTTTGCAATTTGGATTATAGAATTATATCAGGTTTTCTATTTATATTTTAGTATATTTTTTTGTTCATTTAGCTCTTTATTAATTTTACCTAGTTCTTAAATATATTTCTAACTTTCTATTATATAGTCATATACATAATCTAATTATTTTTTAAGATCTTTTATCTTATTTATTTTTGAGTTTAACTATAATTGAAGT